GAGGCGGCGGCCGCCGGGGGCCAGGCCTGCGGATGCGGCTGTTGGCAGTGGGCTCGATGGACGGGAGCGTTACCGTCCTGGACGCGGACTCAGGGGCGGTCCTGGCGGGCAGCCGCCCCCACACCAAGTATGTCGTCCGCGCCTGCTTCGACCCCTTGGCAGGCGGCGTCATCGCGACCGCCAGCTTTGACCAGAGCTGCTGCCTGCTGCGGCTGGTTGCGGGTGCAGCTGGGGGCCTGGAGCTGCAGCTCATGCGGCAGGTGAGCGCACCAGCACACGCGCGGCTGCGCGCCGCATGGCTTGGGGGTGGTGCACCCGCACGCCACCCCGACCCCCCGCGCTCGCGCCGCTGCTGCAACGCGTGCCTCTTGCGTGGCGGAAGCCTGCAAAACCCCATCGACAACAAGGTGCTCCCTCGTCGCCCTGATTCAACATTCAAACTTCCCAGGTCCAATACGGCGCCGCCGTCCAAGACGTTGCCTTTCTGCCCCCTCCCCGTTCAGCCCTCGCCCCCGCTGCGGCTGCCGCGACGCCAGCCGGCGGCGGCTGTTCCGGCGCAGGCGAGGGCGAGGGCGCATCGCGCGTCCTGGTGGCGGTCAGAGAGGCGGGGTGCCTCTGGAGCCTGGACGCGGGGAGCGGCGAGGTGGGTGGCTGGGTCATCGACGGCTGACAGCGATGAGCAACTGGCGCCTGGCTCGCCGGCAGGGGTTTGCGTTGCGCGCTGTGGCCAGGTGCGCTTCGAGATTGTTAGTTTGTTAACGGGCGGCCGAGTACCTGCACTGAAGTGGCGGCATGCGGGCCCTTCAGTGCCACCAACCCGCGCAGGCTTCGCACTCTCTCTGTGGCGCCCACCTTATTTGTGACGAGCCGTTGTGCCCCCGCTCCCTCCCTCCACGCCCGCCTTGTTGCACCCAGGACCTCCCCCATATCCCCCTGCACGGCCGCGACGACGACCACCTGAAAATCTCGCCCATGCGCCTGGCGCTGTCCCCCTGCGGCAGGTGCGCAACGCCGCCAGCTCAGGCTTGGGCGCCGCCGCGGCGCCGCGGGGCTCCCTGCCGCGCAGCTCCGGCCACGGGCGAGAGCGCTGGGAAACAAATTACGCAAGTCTTATCCATACCGCACCCACCTGTGTTTGTCCTTCGGCAGCCAGCAGCCATGTGTCACTTCCGACGGCCGGCGGCTGTGGGTTGCGGCCGCCTGTTGGGGGCTACGATTGCCGCAGATGTATGGCCAGCAGCCATGCGCGCGCCACGACGACGGCCAGCAGCCAGGTGCACCCGCCAACCGCTGGACCCATTCGCCCCCGCCAACATCCAACAAACGTGCGTCCACCCGACGGGCAGCCCCCCACCCCACCGCGCTGACCCTCGGCCCTCGCCTGCCGCCGGCCCCCGCGCGCCGCAGGTACCTGCTGGTGGCGCTGGACGGCCCGCGGCTGCTGGTGCTGCGCACCGCGGACTGGTCCCGCCTGCGCGCCATCTACGGCCTCAACGTGCCCCAGTACCACAACCACGCGGGTGGGGGCGCCTCGCCCTGGATGCACCCTTTTCACTCGCGCTCCCAGCGCTGGCCGCCTCGCCGCTCGACAGCTCACTGGCCAGAACGCTTGCCCAAGGCCACCCCTGCAAGCCATCGAATGACGTCATTATCTGATGGCTGTTGAGACCCCAACTCCTCGGGGAGTCGCTCAATCCTGCTGCCTGCCGCTGCGGCCCCTCCCACCCTCTCAGATGCCCCACCGCCCCCCTTTCCCCCC